GAGTATAGTGCAGTCGATGGCGACATAAGAATTAGTCAGACATAAATAGTGGTGTACGTAAATGTTAAATAAATTGGTGCATTTCTTTTTGTGGAATTCTGTGTTTTAATCCAGAAAAACGCTACAATACTTTATATGCATTGTTAGGAAAATAATGGGGAATCCGAAAATATTGAATTGACAATGCTTCTACACGACAAGCCTATTCTTTTCAGCCTGCCTGTTTATTATGTACCCTTACACTTTTTTGTTTTTCTCTCTATCCTCTCCCGGCTTTCATATGTATGTAGATTTCATGTTCGCTGAGGCGCGATCTACATAATCGGTACAGGACTCCTTACTTTCTTTTTTCTTTTTTGATTTGATTCAGCAATTTGTTTGATTTCCGGGGGTGCAGTTAGCAGTGGAATTCTAGCATCGGTTTTATGGATCTGTGGAAAGTATCACCTCGGATGGATAACTGTCAATTTTTACTTCTCACGCGATTGGCGAGGAAGTATCGTAATGTGTAGCAGTTTCGCCAAGGACGAAAAAGCTGTGTACTTTTTGAAAACGCACTTAGCTTCCTCTTGACTCATGTGATAAGATACAGGGTGTTCCAATTGGTCTTATCGGCAAGGTGGACAAGATATCAAAAATCTGTTTTCGTGGTAAATTTGTTATGTCACTAGGGCATATTTTAAAATTGTTTTAATATATACAGATTGTTCCGTAACCTCATGCAATAACAAAAATATATTTTTTTAATATAATACACACACTTTTCATTTCATGTTTGCTTCTGAAAACAAGTAGCTTGATGTCATATAACATGGTTTAGAATGTCTGAAAAAATGCCCAACTTTGAGGGCTTGCAGCTCCGCAATTTTTGAAGATATTTAGATAAATTGTGGCGCACAAAAATTTGATTATCGTCGATTTTAAGCTGAAAATATTTTTTTATTTATACAGGGTACCTCAGAACGCAAAATGTACCTTCTTCTCATACGTTTCAAATACATACATTCTGTGTATTTCTACATCATTAAATAGCTTTGGGAACTTTCTTTTTGAATCTAGGTTTACCATATTTTAGTTATTGCTATTAATTTACATTTAGGCTTAAAATCAGATCCTCCAAGCAAACAATGAACTTTTCTTCGCACAAGATTTATCTTAACCCAGAACATTTATTATGAAATAATTATATATTTCAAGCAGCTCCGTTAGATCTTAGGTCCAGTATTTTTTCACAACCACTTTGTTTTAGCAACTTGGGTCGACTTTTTTACTAGAGTACTCGTAGTGTTAATTCAACAACAAGGAGAACTTTGTGCCCAATTTGCGTTTTCTTTCACTGGGGTCATGTAGAAGAAGAACATCTAGCCTTGTGCGCTTTGCACCAGGGTGATATATGGAAACAATTTATTGAAGATTGGTTGCCTTAGGTAGTGATTATTTTTTTTTTAAGGTTGTTACCGAATATTGTCGCTTGTCTCATCGGCTGTGTGGCTTGTGGCATCGTCTTGTTGAAACCACATACCATTAACGTCTAGCCCATCCAATTGACCAAGAAAATAACGTTGCAACATGTCTCTGTAGCGATCTCTGTTGACTGTAACGTAACGATCATTTTCATCAACGAAAAATGAAAACCACACCGTACAGTTATTTTCTGCGAATGAAGTGGTGTCTCTTGAAGCACATGAGGGTTTTCACCTGACCAATAACGCATATTCTGTTTGTTGACGAAGCCGCTTAGCCACAAATGCGCCTCATCACTAAAGATGATTTTGCGATGAAATTGGTCATTTTCTTGCAACATTTCCAGAGCCCAGCAATAACTCAAAGATGTATGGAAAAAAAGTCGTATAAACCCAATTTTATAACAAGATTGACAGAAAAACTATTTAACGATGTAGAAGTATACAGGGTTATCCAAATTAAGTGTCCACCATTAGTAACTTTGTTATTAGTGAAAATACAAAGTTGTTTGAATTAGCAAACTAGTAGCATTTTTAACGCTGGTAAAAATTAGAAATAAAAAAAAACAATTGAGAGTCGTTATTTTGATTTTTTTCAGTAAAATAACATTTTTTTAAATGGAAACCCCTGTATATTATATTTTTTTCTGTTAAAGCATCAAATTTTAAACAAAAAAGTTCATAATGACTTTTCCGCTAAAGTCAAAAATAAAGTCAAAATAACGATAAATATTTTTAATTATTTGCAGTATTATAATATTAAGACGGCTATGAAAACAACATGGCGTTCGCGATTTGACAGCATTAAGATAAGCGACAAATTGTTAAACTGGACATACTCGCAACTAGAAGGCTTTGGAAAACAATGATAAAATCAAATAATGTCAAACATTAGTGTAAATACTTGTTTATAAGCTTTATTGTGTCATTAATTTAAAGAAAAATGTTCTCCCATGAAGAAAAGTGTGATATGTTAGAATGCTATTTAGTGTCCAGAAAATCCTCCTTGAGAGCAAGAGAATACTACAGTGAATTATATCCCGCTCGCATTCAACCGTATGAACGATATTTTCTGAGACTTTATCGAAAATTTAGGGGCAACGAAAATGTTTTTGCTAAAACAAGGGCAAAAAAGAATTCATAATAAGCGAGGCCACGGAAATTGCAGTTATTGGATATTTTGAAGCTTATCGTGAGAATTCAATAGCAGATATTCTCAAGGACTCTAATTTCAGTTATGGTACTGTTCAAAGGATTTTAAAAAAATACAAATTTATTCCGTATAAGTACCGACCAGTTCAAACGCTTTTGGCAGGGGATCCAGAGAGAAGACTTGTTTTTTGCCATTGGTATCTTAGCTTCTGTCGCCAAAATGTAAATAACTTTCGTTACCTTTTATGGACAGATGAATCAAATTTTTCAAATTCTGGAATGTTTAATAGAAAAAACCACCATTATTGGTCAAGAGAAAATCTTTTGTTAGAACATCCAAGAGGCCCACAAGTCCGTTTCAGTTTCAACGTTTGGTGCGATATAATTGGTTCAAAAATTGTTGGCCCGTTCTTTTATGAGGGAACCCTAACTGGTGAAAGATATGTGGAATTTATGTCAGAAATTCTGACTAATTTCTTAGACGAATTGGATCTTATAAGTAGACATCATCTGCATTTTCAGCAAGATGGCGCACCTGCCCACAACTCCAGAGGTACTTATCATTTTCTAAGTACTACTTTTAATGATCAGTGGATAGGAACAAATGGCCCAATACAGTGGCCTCCCAGATCACCAGATCTAAACCCACTTGATTACTTCTTGTGGGGTTACTTAAAGAACCAAATTTACAAGCGAAGGTACGATAACCTTGACGCGTTAAAGACTGCAGTTAGGGAAAAGATAACCCAGATAGATGGTAGGACCATACTTAAGACAGTTCGAGTAGTTGAAAAACGTGCCCAAAAATGTATTGAAGAACAAGGTGGTGTTTTCGAGCATCTTCTTTAAAAAAAATTGTTATTGTATTTTGTAAGATTATAAGTTGATGTTGAAAATAAAGTTTGTCGATACAATTTAATTGTTTCAGATTTTAGGCCATAACTTCAACAATTTGTAACCTAGGAGAAAAGTTATTGTAAGCTTTTTTGTTTAAAATTTGATGCTTTAACAGAAAAAAAATATAATATACAGGGGTTTCCATTTAAAAAAATGTTATTTTACTGAAAAAAATCAAAATAACGACTCTCAATTGTTTTTTTTTATTTCTCATTTTTACCAGCGTTAAAAATGCTACTAGTTTGCTAATTCAAACAACTTTGTATTTTCACTAATAACAAAGTTACTAATGGTGGACACTTAATTTGGATAACCCTGTATACAGGGTGTCCCACAAAAAGGTGTGCAATATTCTACCAGCGGTTTCTAGAGCTTAAAATAGAAAGAAAAGTTTATATAAACATAGGTCGATAAACGTCCCCTAAGGGCGCTACGGTCTTTTAAAGGGGCTCCCCTGAACATGGTCTTTCCTTAATATTTCCGAAACTTGTTGAGATAAAGACATAAAATTTGGTATTCTAGCCTAGTTTCTTATTCTGGATTTAAGAATATTAACAATTTTAGGCAGTTTTGTTTGGAAGCGTATGTAACAGGAACGGACTCAAATTGTTTTAGCCCCAAAATTTTTGTGTGATTCTATTTTTGAAATTCAATTTTAGAATTTGAAAATTTAGGGTTTTCTACATAAAAAAGATACACTTATTGAATATCGATAAACTGTGCCATTTTTGAATAAAATCAAACTAAAGAATTTGTCACATGATAGGAAATGTACTGCGAATTTAAATGAAAAACAAAAGAAATAAATTTTTTCTACGAACGAAATTGAAATTTGTTTAAAAAAGAAGACATACAGTTGGATATACTTAAAAGTAGCTTTACAATAAGTGTTCAAATAAATTCTATTTTGTTGGATACATTTAAATTCGCAGTACATTTCCTATCATGTGACAAATTTTTTAGTTTGATTTTATTCAAAAATGGCACAATTTATCGATATTCAAAAAGAGTACCTTTTTTATGTAGAAAACCGTAAACTATCAGATTCTAAAATTGAATTTCAAAAATAGAATCACACAAAAATTTTGGGGCTAAAATAACCTGAGTCCGTCCCTGTCACATACGCTTCCAAACAAAAGTGTCTAAAATTGTTAATATTTTTAAATCCAGTATAAAAAACTAGGCTAGGATACCAAATTTTATGTCTTTATCTCGACACGTTTCGGAAATATTAAGGAAAAACCATCTTCAGGGGAGATCCTTTAAAAGACCGTAGCGCCCTTAGGGGACGTTTGTTGATCTATGTTTATATAAACTTTTCTTCCTATTTTAAGCTCTAGAAACCAATGGTAGAATATTGCACACTTTTTTCGGGGCACCCTGTATACGGGGTCTTGAAATGTTTGAGAAACGGAACATTTCGCATTTTGTATTTTGCACACGCCTTGCTTCCAGGTTCCAGAAAATACACACCCACGAAAAACTTACTTGCGGCGTCCAGTTGAACGGCGGCGGCGCCACCCTAGTCTGGCTCTTCGACCTCGACTTGAAGATCTTCTTGGCCATCAACCTACCGCCGTGGTGCACCACGCTGGACGAAGACTTGCTCTTCTGCATGACACCCGCCCCTTGCCCGGAACCACCTGCGGAACATTTATCGGTTACGTCACTTTTGTCTTTGCCGTGCAGCAAGTGGCTGAAGAAACCGCCCTTCGACGGGGGCGAAACGGGGGACGGTTCCCCCGCACCGAAGTCCACGCTACTCCTCGAACTCGACACGCGGCTGCTTTCCACGTCCGACACTTCGTACTGTTCCGCGAACCGGAGGCTGCGATACGTCAAAATCCAATCGTCGTTCGTTTGACAACCCTTGTTCAGTCCGTCGTCGTCGCCCGGTTTCGTTATCTCACCCTTCGCCTTTATATTCCTCAAGTTTCTGTCGTAGTTCACGCGTTTGAATCTATCCGCCTTGTCAATGTCCACGCTTTTCTTCCGCGCCATCCTCAGGTACCTCTTGATGGTGTCGCTCACGGACTGAGAAACGTCGTCGTTGTCTATACTACTCTTCCTTCTACCGGTTTTATGATCCCTTTGCGCCTCTTCTTCACGTCTCTCCTTTTCTTTTTTCCTGAATTCTTCTTCGACCTTCACCAGAACGTGTTCTGGTATAGGCAAAGTTTGAGTCGCCCAGTTATGGTACTTAGGCTCGCTACTAACCCGTTGCACTTCGATCATTGGAGGTGAGACGGAAGCTGAAGGACTTCCTTTCAAGATAGAGTGAGGAGGACTTGCAGGGTAATTTTTTCTTTGAGGTCCGTACGCGAAGCTTGTTGTATACCCAGTACCTCCTCTACTACCCCTGAAACCCTTGGTCTTCCTTAGGTCGAAGTACAACTTCTCCAAAGCCTTCCTGTCTGTTAAGAGGTCAGAGATGATCCTGTCTCTATTTCCAGATTGTCCATAGTACCTACTGAGCGTGTCCAATAACGACCTTTGGTGATAATCTCCTTGGAAATGGACATGCTGGTGAGCATGAGGGGCTGAGGTGTGATCCTGATAACCTCCAGGACTCCTGTTGCTTCCGTAGACGTTCAAATGTCTTTGCAGCCTGTCTACAAGGTCCTCGTAACTAAAATCTGGTCTATATGGAGACTGTTGCTGCTTAGCGCCCGTATCTTCAAGCTTCAAGTATTCTCCTAAGATATCAGCTAGTTGTTGATCATTCTCTACTTCGGCATCGGAAAATGTTGTGCTTGCTGTGGATCCAGCTTCTTCTCTCAAGTCGAACTTTCCTGCAGTTGTAGGAAGGATCTCTAGATGTGTGGGTCTCTCAGGTCTGTCTAGGCTGACTTCGTCTGCTGATACAGCCTTCCGACAACTGTTGCCCTTTCTGGAAACTCGTTTCTTCTTCCTGAAGCCTATCGCTCCAGGATAGGAATTTTTCCTCCAAAGCAGGAACTTAGTCTCCTTCTTACACACTTCTTGAAAGTAAGCTTCTATCTTAGGCACGTCTTCTAAGCGATTCTGAGCCCCGTCAGGTATAAGTTTCCTTCCGGCATCGGCCATGTACCTCCAGGTTTTCCTCGTCAGTAGCCATCGTTCTTTTGGTTTAGCCTTCTTCCTTCGTATCGACTTTCCCATAGTTACTGAGTATTCCGTGGACTCGGTGCTAGCGCTTCTTCCGATGTTCTTTAACTTGCGATCCGCCATTATGTCACAGGTGCCTCATAGTTCTGATCACGAAATGTATAACTGAGTATAAAATGACGAGCACTCATGCGAGCGGAATTTTGATGGGTCTTCGGTGAGACATTTTTTGAGTGCTGTCATTGGACACTGAAGTAAGAAGCTTTGAGGTTAAAAAGTTGGTGTGCTTGTTTTGGACGTGGCCTTTAGATCTTTGACAATTGTTCACTGTCTGATGCACTTCTTCAAGGAAATTTGTTGCTACTAAAACTTGTTCAAGCTGTATATAGTTCTTTAATGTCTTGATGACTATAGTAGGTTCTGGCCAAGAAGTCAGTTGATGATATATCCCGTTTCAAGTGTCACCAGCTTCAGTCTGAGCTCTTCGTGAAGAGTGTGTTTTGGGTGTCCACAAGACCTGTTGTAAAGTATTATTTTCTCCAAAAGAATCACCTTCCCACAGCTGGCACCATGTAGTTGTATGATGACAGATGCTTGAAGAATATAAAACTTGTGAGAGAGTTGTTTATTGGAGCTTTTTTAATTTGGTTTGGGTGCTAACGTTCACATTGATCCTCTATGATACTTTATAGCGATTTTAGCTCCTTGTTGGGATAGCAGACTCCAAAAATCTGTTAAAGCGATGGGTAGAACGCACGCTTCTTCGAAGACAAATCTTGAATTTTCTTGAGGGTGTTACTTGGACGAACGTTTATAGTTTTTCATCAACTAAAAGTTTGGCACTAGGTTTTAGCAGTCTTCACAGCTTGTTTGGAGCTTTTATTTCTCAAGTGGGATTCCACAAGAGTACTTTATGATACATAGCGATAACAGGCACCACTTTCTGTCTCACAGTTATACCAAGAGGCACGTTACACTATCACTAACTCCAACCGAGTTTTTTTAAACGTGAGCACTACCACAGTTGTTCAAAGCTATTGGAGAGTAGTCCCTGGATCTGACTTGTTATTGTTGAGTCTAAACCAAGGACTTTGGTGCTGAGTTTGATCACAGATTTTGCTTCAAAGCTGACTGCAGCTTTTACTTCTTGGACCAAACCTCGGTTCTAATCCTGTATGGGCCTTTAATGCTACTTTTGACCACACAATGCGTTGAGAACCATTTTTCACAGTCACCAATCTGGTCCAAGACTTTTTCCACTGCCAGCTGAAATTGAATTTGAGAATCTGGGAATCTGGTGAACCAAGTTTTGATTCTGGCATCAAGCTTACAGAGATACAAGTTGAAGATGACCTGGTGCATTTATTGCTTGTGTTATGTCCCAGATCTAGCCCTGCGTGGTATTTTAACTAGAACAGTTTTGAGGCGTATCAATTTGGTAATCTGATGAACTTCTTCGTCAAAGTTGAGGATACTGTTGCAAAAGATGACTGATGTTCTTGCTTCTTGAATTGGATTCCAGGCACTTTATAGTCTCCTGAGGGAGGCTGTAGATACTAGTAATAGTCACTGATTTCCACCGAGCTTTTTCGAAATATCACAAGCACAGCTTGAAGCAAGCTCCTTGGATCTTCTAATGAATTGAGGAGGCTTTGGCATTTGACCATAGGTTTTTCTTCAGGTTACTGCTGCAAACATTTCCAAGCTTTTGCTTCTTACATTGGACACTAGGATATTTTATAGTCTCTTGCTACTGGTAAGGGTATCACAGTCACTAATATGACGCCGACGACACTATCACTAACTTACGCGGAGTTTTTTCCGAAACGTGATCCCTGACATATGTCGGGCAACCGGAGGAGTGGTCGCGATTGTCGAGTGGTAACCGGCAGGCACTTGGAAAATCGGATATTTTTGTAAAACCGGTCGCGCGGTGGCGTTTCGGCGTCGAAGCGGCACGCCGATGCGGAGACCGAATCCAGGAACGCCGACTGACTGCGACAAGATTAAGAGTGCCGCTACTTGGGAAACAAAAATATCGCATTTGGCAACAGGCATATATTGTGAGCTAGACAGAAAATAAAGTAATTATTAGATCATATAGTTATTTTTTTTTTTTTGGTGCATATCTCAGGAATAGCTTCACGTTACGGACAGGTGGTGCAAGCTCCGGGATAGCGTGGCAAGATACCAGTACCCCGTTTGGGAGCTGATAGTGCTGACGACATGTCACTCCGGATCTTACCGGTTCATTTTTACATCCCACACCCCTACTGGCGAGGAAGTATTATATTATTTATTATGTTTTTTGGATGGCATATGACGTCACGAAAAAATCATTGTCCGCTAATCTTAGAAGAAGATTGCGATGAATTTCTTACACAATCTTACCACTATGCCAAGGAAGAAAAAGCTCCATAATTTTTGAAAATCGTCCATTGCTTGCATGTTTCAGACGATCCTGATCATTGCAAGGGGTAGGAAAGGAAATATCTCATTTTTTTTATTGTCGGGTGTCGATACATGCGACGTGGTCTCTCGATGGACAAGCGTCATCGTCGGTGGTCGAACACCCCAGTCGGCAACCGCGTGGCCGGATGGCGAAGGCCAATAAGGGGTGGACGAAGGTCATTTAATTTTTTGTGATACATTTTAACGAAATTTGATCGGGCTTTACCTGTTTCACGAGCAATAATGTACAATTTTCAAATTACCAGCCTTTTTGAACAACTTCTGAGTATTTCATTTTATATAATCACATAACTAGTCTATGATTTCTATATTTGCTAAGGGAAACTTTTTGAAACTAGAAGGGAGATTAAATGGAATTATCCAAGTGATTATTTGTACGATATACACCTTTTCGACCCGTCAAGGGGCAAAGAAGCCTAATTGGGATTATCTAGTTATCTTTGTCTGCCTATAGTGTGAGAATCTTGCGGCAGGCTTAAAAGTACCTCTAATATACTAAGTGACATATAAATCCGAACAACCACTTTTCGGGAAGCTGGACTTTCTTTTCGGGCAATTGCAGTTAGAGTGCAAAGAAGTGTAGACACTGTGGTTAGATGTTGTCAGGCATGGCTTCGAGAAGGCCGTACGCAAAAAGCAAGGGGCACTGGACGCCGCCGTAGAACAACAGACCTTGAAGATCGCCGCCTAAGATTATTGGCCTTAAGGGACCGTTTCTCCACTACCAGGTCCATTGCAAATGAATGGTTTGCAGAACACGGAAGACCTATTGGCATGCGAAGTGTTTACCGACGAATGAGAAGTTTTGGCTTGTTTTCATACCGGCCACACTGGGTCCTCCCTTTAACTCGAGAACACCAACGTAATCGCCTTGAGTGGTGCAGACAACGGTCACTCTGGGATCAGGAATGGAACAGTATTGTCTTTAGTGACGAGTCTCGATTTTGTTTAGGCATGCACGATGGTCGTGCCAGGGTTAGAAGGCGACGTGGTGAAAGGAGGAATCCACCGTTTTTTGTTGAAAGACATGTTCATCACACTGTTGGAGTTATGGTTTGGGGTGCTATAGCTTATGGTACCAGGTCACCTTTAATCTTCATCAGAGGTAACATGAACGCGCAGCGTTATATCCACGAAGTTCTAGTACCCCATCTTTTACCTTATCTTGGCACCCTGGCAGATCCAACTTTCCAACAAGATAATGCCCGACCACATGTTGCAAGAGTCACAATAGACTTCTTTCAACATAATGATCTCACATTGTTACCATGGCCACCAAGATCTCCCGACTTATCCCCAATTGAGCACGTGTGGGATATGATGGGTAGGAGATTGCTCAATTTGCAACGTCCTCCTCAGACTCTAGAAGCACTTCGAGAGGAGTTGGTGGTTGCCTGGAATGAGATACCACAGGAGGACATTGACCACCTGATCAGAAGCATGCCTAGGCGCGTTGGAGAATGCGTAGCACATCAGGGTGCATCCACACATTATTAAAGGTCAAAGGGCTTTAAAGCAGTGCAATTATTTTGAAATTTTTATCATTTACTTATTATGCTTCATTAAGTACTTATACAAAATTTTATTAAAATAAAACCATTTAAACTGGGTGTTCGGATTTATATGTCACTTAGTTTAGTTATAGCACTCCAAGTGCCCCAGTATTAAGGCTTCCGTCTACGCACTGCTTCCGTATAAAAAAGCCAAATCTGAATCAAGAGAAATACCACCAGACAAAGTTGATTTTTTCCAACTTGAATCTTGAAGATGTTTATTCGGTTTTCGTATTTCCAGCTGTAAATCTATTCTGGCACCTCACCGGTAATAAAAATATAGTTGAATAAATAAAAATTAATACACATCGTGAATTCTGTGGAAGAATTTTTTATAGGCCATAACCATCAGGCAGATCTATCTAGATTTGTATCTATGAAAAATGATATCGAAAACAAAATTAGATCGAATTCTTCAGGAAGTAAGGGGAATATAACCAGGCATCTGCCTTATTTGGTAGACGATATCAACGTGTGTGCTTTGCGTTTCCAAGGCAAGAGCTACACTGCACTGATGATTGCCGACAAGTGTTGTGGTTGAAACATGTGATACATGGAGTATTTCTTTATAGAGTAAAATTGTGCCTTAAGAACCAAAAATATCCAAGTCCGCCGGTTGAAATCTAATTCGAGCGTCTTCGTGGATATAATTACACTGTTTACTGTGCAAATCAGTCTGCAGATCCTCCGCATTCTGTCTGGCCCACTTTCGAACTCTTAACTCCTCAAAAGCGATAAAAACGAACGCATTCGGCTTACGTCACACGTGCTGAGATGTTGAGACGGATCGGGTATTTTTACAATGTACTTAAATTTTATCGTACGGGTTTATAATTGTTTGAGCGTTTAACCCACAATACATCTGTCGAGAAATGTATTGTTTTAAATGTATGCGCTGTTCGCGGTTTTATAGTAGGAACGTTTCAGTTTTTGAGCGTGAAAATACTTTCACAGTCACCAGAAAAAAGTAGTACGGCTTATAAATTTCTAGTAACTAATTGGATTTGGGGACGAAAGAAAGACACTTTCCTGTTATGAAGTTGCGTACCTTTAGGAAAAATGTATTTCCTTCTTCAGGTGTCTATAAAAAATATACTAAGTGACATATAAATCCGAACACCCAGTTTAAATGGTTTTATTTTAATAAAATTTTGTATAAGTACTTAATGAAGCATAATAAGTAAATGATAAAAATTTCAAAACCACCAACTCCTCTCGAAGTGCTTCTAGAGTCTGAGGAGGACGTTGCAAATTGAGCAATCTCCTACCCGTCATATCCCACACGTGCTCAATTGGGGATAAGTCGGGGAGATCTTGGTGGCCATGGTAACAATGTGACATCATTATGTTGTCTATTGTGACTCTTGCAACATGTGGTCGGGCATTATCTTGTTGGAGAGTTGGATTTGCCAGGGTGTCAAGATAGGGTAAAAGATGGGGTTCTAGAACTTCGTGGATATAACGCTGCGCGTTCATGTTAGCTCTGATGAAGATTAAAGGTGACCTGGAACCATAAGCTATAGCACCCCGAACCATAACTCCAACAGTGTGATGAACATGTCTTTCAACAAAAAACTGAGGATTTCTCCTTTCACCACGTCGCCTTCTAACCCTGGCACGACCATCGTGCATGCCTAAACAAAATCGAGACTCGTCACTAAAGACAATACTGTTCCTTTCCTGATCCCAGAGTGACCGTTGTCTGCACCACTCAAGGCGATTACGTCGGTGTTCTCGAGTTAAAGGGAGGACCCAGTGTGGCCGGTATGAAAACAAGCCAAAACTTCTCATTCGTCGGTAAACACTTCGCATGCCAATAGGTCTTCCGTGTTCTGCAAACCATTCATTTGCAATGGACCTGGTAGTGGAGAAACGGTCCCTCAAGGCCAATAATCTTAGGCGGCGATCTTCACGGTCTGTTTGTTCTACGGCGGCGTCCAGTGCTCCTTGCTCTTTGCGTACGGCCTTCTCGAAGCCATGCCTGACAACACCTAACCACAGTGTCTACACTTCTTTGCACTCTAACTGCAATTGCCCGAAAAGAAAGTCCAGCTTCCCGAAGCCCCACTATACGGCCCCTATCAAACTGACTAAGTTGACGAAATCGTACAGGTCTCCGTACTCTAGGCATCCTAACCGATCGTAAAGGATGTCAAGAACCAAAATCCGCCAACGTTGATTCTTTACTGCGGCTGAAATATTCATTTTTACAGCGTTAGTGAATTAAAAAAAGCAGTATAAAAACCGGAATGTCCAACTGATAAGGATGAAAATTTTTTCACTTGTTATTTACAGTAAGATAAATACATTCACCAACTTTTATTAAAATAAAACCATTTAAACTGGGTGTTCGGATTTATATGTCACTTAGTATATGTTAAAGATACTTGTTTTGGTTGAGATCTTATATAAAACGCCTCCCCGAATTTTAATAATTCTCAACATACAGTGTGTCCCACTCTAAATGAGAAAAGTCTTAGAGGAAACTTAGTGCTTTCGATATCCGGCGATTTACGTTGGTCCAATTGGTTTTGAAAATATCAACGAAAAACCGAAAATGACGGAATTAGTTTGACAGCTGTCTCAATGTGACATTGTTCGAACATTTTTTTAAGGAAAATAAGATAGCATGTATGACATGTCTCAATCGTCTTTTGTTTTCCAGCAACCCGCCTCAACTTTCACTTTTCTTGTGTTGTATTTTTCGATCTTTGAAAATAGCGTAAACTTTCCCGCCCAGTGACGTCCCACAAGTGCATAAAACCTTGGAGTATCACCGAAATATCATCACACGTACTGTTTATGTTTTAGTTATTTTCTAAGGAGGCCATGATTCATTTGTCAGAAAATAAAATTAATAAGTATCGCATTTTTTTATCTAAGGAGGCTCTGACTTTGACGTTAAACAATTCAATGTATTGAAACTGTGTTTTAGCAAGTATTTTTCTGTCATTAAGACCATGAATCAGACAAAAAAATTGTCAAAACCTGTTGGAAATTGCCGATATTTATTACTAAAATGAAGAAAAGCTTGACATGTTGGCGCTGAACTTGCAGTCACACAGAATCG